TGTGTGTGTGTGTGTGTGTGTGTGTGTGTGTGTGTGTGTGTGTGTGTAGACAAGTTAGTGCTTTGCTTCTCCCCACCTGTTCAAATGTTTCTCTTGTGTTTGCCAACCGAAACAATGATTATGTACCACTCAGGGTACCAAGAAATATTTGGATATGGCTTACAGATGCAAATACAGTTTTGTTTTTTCCTTGTTTGTGATGTAGGGTTCGATTAGTAAGAGTTGCAAATATATTAGATAGGTTTTTAAATTGAGGAATCTAAAGCGATCGGTAACTTAAACTAGTGACAAGTGATGGTAATGTAACTAACATACAACTACAAAATTATTTTTTTTATTTTTTTTGTTTCATGTAACTAACATTAACAGACATTTATCAAACAACTATTTATTTTAAATGCATTGAAACATGTTTTTCAGGTTTTTGTTCTCTGTGCTGTGTTGCAGCGTTCAGTATACATTAAGGGTGTAATGATACGTGTATTTGTACCAAGCTGTCACAATACAGAGGGGAAGTACAGTACTGTAAATGTCTTTGTACAATAGCATTACTGACAGCGCTGTCATGTTACCACTGTTGCCTTTGTTACCGTTTTGCAGTAACTTATTACAGTTATTGTTAGTGTGTTACATTGTCACCAAGATGCTGTAGCTCCAGTTTGGCCAACTTTGGTAGGTTTGCCGGCAACAGTGCTGGCAGTAAGTTACGATAAGGTTACAGGGACATGACTGTATGCTATGTCATGTTAAAGAAATATGTATGGATGAAAATATGAAGTTACCTGCAGTGACAATAAAATTTGAGGACAAGTTAAACTTAATTAGAATAAAGGGGCTCTGCATGAGGAAGTGTGGTACAGATAATATAGAAAACAGGAAGTGTAGTAAAGGCTACGGTGCACTGCTGTGCCTTCTTTACAATATATGTTTTTATAGACTACTACAATATATGTTTTTATAGACTACTACAATATATGTTTTTATAGACTACTACAATATATGTTTTATAGACTACAGCACAAAATTAGAAATACATTTTGACAGGTATCTGTGACTTGCCTATCTTGTCCATTCTAAACTGTTTAATTTGTATTTCTTTGTTTTACATTCTAGTTTTTATCCTGCCTACAAGGATTTCATATATTTGTAAGGTGCTTACTTATCGTGAACCATTTAGGTGTATCCAAACCTTTGCATCACATACATGGACTTTAGGAGCTCAGTCTGAAATGACTTGGAGTGTCACGAGAAAACAGCAGATAGAAAATAGTCTGGCTGCTTGCCAGTTAATCTGTTCCCTCCGTCTCACTCACGGCTGGCTGTGCTACGTTTGCAGTGTTTGATTTGAGTTTGTTGACATTGTTACTCTTGCTTTTGTTCTCTGCAGCTGGATGGAGAGACCATGTTCCTGGGTATGCAAGAAGCAGGCCTTGATTTCACCTCAACAAATCAGGTTAGAATTCATGATGTAGTTTGTTTATTTTTTTTAACACACAGAAAAATATATAATTGTAAGTGAGTCTTTGTCTACAGTAGTTTTAACTATCAGTCTATTTTCTGAGTTAGCTGTGCAGCCTGTACACGAGATCCGTCAGTGGATACAAGCTGTCGAAACTGTTACTTTCCTGAAATATGCTAAGAGCCAACGCATAGCTCAACACTTATCAGCTTTAACAATTTTAAAAGTGAAAAAAGCAAAAATGCACAGGAAACGACTAAAAATTTAGTGTCATGTTAGAATAGCACAGACGGTTTTTAAGCTTCGCTTTAATAACATGGTTACTCGTCTTTGCACAGTTTTTGCTGATGCAAACCAAAAAAAGGGAGATTTTTTTTATTTATTTGCAAGTACAATGGGAAATTTACACTTCCTCTTCTTTATCCTCTTTCTTGTCAAGTCAATGAAGTGTACCAGAACCAATAAATTTAAAAATCATGAATGTGTTTGTATTTTGGTTTGTGTTGAAGGGAAATGAGTTCAGTAAGTAAAGGAAAATTTCCAGCACTGGTTAGAATTTAGCCTCATTTTCAGATAAAGAACCAGTCGACCCATTAGACATTATAGCTAAGGCTTCAGTAAACTTCCATCTTAACTTATTACGTCTTTATCACACTTTACGTATAACATTTAAACATGTTTACAATTTCAAAGAACTCTGACTTCAATGCATCTGCGAAGTCAAGAGTTCAGATTCATGCATTGATGGTATAATACTTGAGTTTTATCTTGTAAGATGATTTTATCATGCCCCATTTTGCCTTTGAGCTCACCTTTGGCTATTTCAGGCTTATTTCCAGTTATATTAAGCAAACTTCCTCCCCATCTGTTTTATAAATCAATATCACTTACAGCGTATAGTAAGAGGCCTCACAGTGTACTTCGATCCCTAAACTCTCTCATTTCTTTCACTAATCGAGAGCTGCTACTGCTGTGCAGTGTGATTGTTGAGCAATACCATGTGTGTAGACACCAGAACAATTTAATGTTAGACGTGTCTCTCAAGGTGGACCATATTTTCATCCAGTTTACTGTTATTTTTCTTTAAAATGTAGAAAATTGTCAACTTCTTTGGCTGTAGCTATTATATTGGCCTGAGAATCTGTTGAGGGTTTTGATAAAATAAATAATGTGTTCATTTGATTTAAGACAAAGCCGCAGCTTGTTTTTGTCCTTTTTAAAAAATGTATTGATTATCGAAATAATAATAGCTGATAATAAAATATTGTAACTGATATATAGAGCATTTTAGTTGAATGCAAAGTGTATGGTAACGAACAGCTCGTGGAAGATGGATGGACATTTCCATTAGAAAACAGTGTTCATTGCTTAAATTCAGAGCTATCCTTCAGAGTAGCGAATGTTATGCTTTCTGCCGTCACTCCAGTGCAATGACAAACATGGTCAGGTTTAGCTGCTTTTATATTACTTTGCAACAGCTCTGGAGCTGCACTTTGCAGCAAACAGTTTTCATAAGGTTGTGGATGTAACTGCATTCAAAATATAGCTTCCAGGGGCCAGACATTAAAGCTTACTATGTGTGTTTGTTAGTTCACAATTACCTCACCACCGAGGAAAGCCCATATTAATAAGAAGCACTGCTACATTATTCATAAAGAAGTATATAGAGAATATTGTGGGGCACAGAACTGAATGATTTGATGTTTTATTCATAGTGTTGTTCTGTAGTAGGGAGTGGTGAGTGGAATAAGAATTTATGGCTTTATTATTGAAGTACCATTTCTTCCATAAAGTCAGAGGTTGTTATGATGAATATGATCAATTTAGGTCCAGTCTGACTCTTACCCTTCTCATTCTTTTAACATCTTAATGCAGTAAGAGAGACCGAACTGCTTTAAAGCTGAAATACGGAGGCTGTAGACATAAACAAAGGGCTTTTTTTTTTAAAGCAGAGAGTGATGTAGATTGTCATTCTAAATTCCAATGCACCGTTTTACTCATTCAGACCGATCATAAGCAGTGCTGGTATTAGATCGATGCTGGCCTGCTTAGGAAAGCCCCATTCCTTCATTAAGACTGTGCCTCTCGAGTTAAAAAGATTAATACTGTCAAATATTTATTCCCTTTTATTTTCTCACCAACTGCAGCAAATGTAACTTCTCTAGAAACGTTTTGGGTAATTGCCAACGCTGCTCTGTTGTTGCTGTCCTGAGGAAGGGTTGCATCTCTTCTTCGACTTTGTTCAGTCAGTGGCAGAAAGTGGTAAACAGCTGCAGTCGTAAACGAGCTGATGCATGTGAACTGCTGTTCTCGTGGTTTGTAACTCAAATATAGACTGCACTTTTTCTGTGTGGGAAAAAGAAGTTCTGTTGCCTTGACCTTTCTGTCCGAGTAAGAACTCTACATACCACAATTCAAAATTGTTTTCTGTAACTTTGAAATATAGGAATGATGATGTCCTTTGTTGTTTAACTCTTCAAAATACATGCCTTTAAATAAAATGTAGGAATCAAACCTTATATTTAGCGCTGATCACTGAGCCACAAAAGGATGACAGTAAAGCAGAAAGTGGCAGGTTTTTTATTTTACAACGTGTGCAAGACACACGCTCACACTGATTTGATCTGTAATTAGATAATAAACTGTAGCACTGATTAATTTCTGACCCTTGATGTTTTTGACAACCCTATTTGGGTTCCTGTCACTGGCAGAGATGGGCAGATTCTCAGTAGTTTTAATGGTTACTTGATTTTTTAAAATTATGACAGCGTAAAAGTGAGAAGCAGTGCAGCATTATGATGTTACAAAAGAGCATGGAAATCACCACTCTTCTTCATTAATACAAACAAGTTCAAGACAAAAACATCTTCATTAATCATAGTCAAATCTGTTTTTGGTGTTTTCTCACTGCAGCACAGTGTTTGGTTGAGTTAGGCTGGTGGAACAATTTTTTACTGTCTGTCCCTTTTGTAGCGTTATCTCCTCCTTTCCGTCAAATCAGCTCAATTGTACCTGTCGGTTATTTCACTTTTAAAAGCACAATTACCCGTTTATTAAGATAAAACTCCACGTTCACCTGCATGTAGGAGACTGTTCCTCTCTCTCTGTGTGAGCTTTGCATAATTTCTCTGCCTTCCTCTTGTTCTGACTTTACTCCTCTTCACAGCCTTTTTGTTTGACCTTTGACCTCTTTCTTGTCTCTGGCCTCATTTCAATCTTTGTGAATTTTCCCACAGTTTCGTGTGCCACAACCCCCTCATCCGCTCATGAAGGTTACACCACCAAACCCACCCTCACACCAATGGAGGAGGGATGCACACATGGCCGACATACATCGTCTCACCTGGGTGAGTGCATGCAAACACGCAACAGAGTCAGTACAGATCTGCTCTGAACCTGTAACTTTCATTCAAACAATCTCAGTTTAAGAAAGACAAGTGACAGCAGCAACTCTTCAGACATACAGATGTGGACCTGCTGATGTTGTCACCTATAAGCAAGGAAAGTGTTTAGTTTTGTTTAATACTATTTGACAAGAACAGCATAAAAATCACTGTTGCATGTTAGAGCATTGCCACCAGTGCTTTGTACCGAGGTTGTCATTCCAAAGACAAATTTGCAAAACCCGTCCTTGTTTGGCCTTTTTAAACTGGTCAACATTAAAACATGACATTCCACCCATACACAATTAACACAAATAGGGAAGAGCGATAAACAGGAGTGCATGTAGAAGAGGTCCAGTTATCATTAGGTATGCTAAGTGTCCATCAGTTTTCATAGATTTGTTTTTGTTTCACACCGTTTTGTTAGACTAGCCTAGAAAAGCCATCACTTTGAACCAAGATTATCTTGAAATGAGGAGGGATGGAGTTTTAGTTGGTCCCCCATCACGGAGTGAAAATGGGGAATTGGAAATACCCTCCGATCGTCTGTCTGTGCATATGCATGCATGATATTTAGAAAAATAAGTGAGGTACCGACTTCCATGTGACTACATCTATCTACTTCATCTAAGCGTAAGAAAGGCTCCTTTTGAAATTTTTTAAAGTTTTGTTGCCTTGTCAAAATCCAAGATGGATACCACTATAAATGTATGTCTGTGTTGTGAGCATAATAACCAAAAACAAGTGAGGTACTGTCTTCTATTTTGGTGTGTGTGGCTACAACTAGGCATAAAAATGTTCACTATCGAAAATTGGGTTGTCATATCACAATCCAAGATGGTTGCCGCCATTTATGTATTAAAAGTTAACCTTGTGAGCTGGATAACTTGACAAATAAGCAATGTGCCAGCTTACATTTTGGTGTGTGGCTGCATTGTAAGAAAGGTCCCTAACAAAAACTGAATAGCCAAGTCAGAATCCAAGATAGCCACCGCAAGTAAACCTTAATATTTTTGGAGCAAGATATTCAAGTGTGTAGGAGTATCACTGTGTATAAGAATAGAGGTGGTTTTTATTTTATTTTATTTTATTTTTAGTTTTTGGTTGCCTGAGACAGTGTAGAGTGACTGATCCTGCCAAGCGGAGGGAACAATTTTATCCAACACCAGGTGCAATAGTGGAGGCAGAAGGTGGCTAATGGTGGCCTTGGCCATCATAGATTAATCTTTGGCCACATCAATCATTTGAAAACAGTTAGAAGCTACAGTATATTTTTAGACAAACCCAGTTTTGACAGGAATCTTTTTTTATGCCTAAATGCAGCCACACACCAAAATAGAAGTCATCAGGTTACTTATTTTTTTTCAAGTTATCCGACTCCAACACTGTTGCCAACTCACAAGGTTAACATGTGTGGTGGCAGCCATCTTGGACATGGCAACCCAATTTTTGATACTGACCTTTCCTACCCTTAGATGTAGCCACAGACCTAAATCCAAGCCAGTACCTCACATATTTTTCAAGTTATCATGCTCATAACATGTACAGATGGACAGAAGGTATTTCCAATTCCCCCTCTTCACTCGGTGATGGGGGACAATAAAAAAGTCAAAGCCCTAAGGTGCTTTGTGTCAAAAACTAAAAAATCCAGTTTGGTGATAGTTAGGAGTGATTAGTGTTTGTTGTCTTAAATACATTTAATGAGAACATCATTACACACAAAAAATCTGTATTTATGGATGCTCATAAAGTGAAGTTGGAACATATCTGTCTGATGGAGATGGTTGTGGTCCTCTGAATAGTTAGGAAAAGTTGGAGGTGGAAAGTAGGACAGTTTTACAGAAGGTCTGAAAGGCAGAATAACATTTTTAAGAACAAAGATCACTGAGAAGATGATCAGAGAACAAAGGTGTCTACAAAGTGAGAACAAGAAGAGATCGAATCCATCTTTCCTCAGTCTGAGATTGAAGAAAGATTTGTGCATTTCCAACATGTCTGGATGAAAAGCTTGTTTCATCTGTAAAATAATGCAAATTGTTCATGTACTAAAAAAAAAAAGCACTGTACTGTCTATTTGTATGTTTAAGATTACAAGAACAATATCCCGATATCACATCTATATAGCCTACTTCTTAATTTGTTTTTATATGATAATGGTCTTAAATTATTGTTGCACAAAAAGAAAATAAAGTTAAAAATATACAAATCAATATAACACAGTTTAAAAGTGAGCTTAATTTTTCATGTTAAAAACTTTCAGTATTGACAATACATTTGTAGATTTCTGTTAGTGTTAACAGTTTTAGTCTGCAGACACAGTTAGCACTTAGCTAACATGTTCTAAATGTTCAGGTTTTATGTGTCACTTTGAAAATATAAAAGCCTACACAGTCCTCCTGGAGAATAAGCAAGTTATGTGGATTTCATTTCAAGTTCTTTAGCTATTCATAAGAAGAGCACAAAAGATGGAACAAGTTTTTATACAGATATTAAAAAAAGGATGTGTGTAAAGGCTAAAAGAGCACATTAATTAAAATACTAATAAATGGCACATATTGAAATAAATAACTTTTATGTTGTTTGGTGTCAGCTAAATAAATTTCTGCGTGGTTATTTTTAGCCATCTGAGCTGCAGTCTTTTTACCTTAATAAGTACCAGGGGAGAAGTAGCACAGTAATCAGGAAAGGTATTTGTCTGCAGGTGGCATTGATGTTAAAATGGTAAAACTTTGTATTTACAGAAGATAAAAGCGATTAGAGTGCTGAGTAGCTCTTCAGCTCTGAAATGTGTCTACTTTTGTTTTGCATGTCATGCACTCATGCTCCACACTGAGAATGTTTTACCAGCAGATAATCAACTTCAAAAAGTTTTTTAAATTCACATTCAATAGAAGCAACACCACCTAATCACTAAATACTAGATGTGTACATCTGAGCAAAGAGTGTATAGTTTGGCTGAGATGTCAATGCTTTGATTTGTGGATTTAATTCTACATACTCAAATAGTCAAAACATATTCTGTGAATATTGTCACAGACTATTTGAAGTGAATGATTTGCTTGATTTCATCACTGGTCGTCTCTTTTTCTTTCTAACTCACTCAACCATCTTTTAAATATTACAGATTTTGGAAGTAGGTCTTTGTTTGCGTAGTCTCTGGTTTTTCTGGCAGAGATGAAGAGAATCAGGCACAAGCAATCGCCAACAATTCAGCTCTGGGGAAAGTGTTTATGGTCAAAACAGAAATTGTGAAAGGGCAGATGAAAGTGCAGCCATGGTGTAAAATAGTTTCATAGACCTTTGGTTAGGAAATCTACAACTGTCTGGTCTGGTTAATAACTGTCTGACTGTCCGTCCGTCCGTCCATTATCTTCCGCTTATTTCGAAGTCGGATCGCGGGGGCAGCAGCTTGAGCAGGGAGGTCCAGTCATTTCTTTCCACAGCCACCTCTTCCAGCTCTTCTGGGAGGACTCCAAGGTGTTCCCAGGCCAACTGAGAGACATAGTCTCTCCACCGTGTCTTGGGTCTTCCCCGGGTTCTCCTCCCAGTTGGACATGCCCGAAGCACC